GAGAGCCACAGTCAGGAAGCGATGGCGAGACAGCCACTGCGAGAGAGTCACTTTGAGAGAGCCACGGCGAGAGAGCAATGGTGAAAGAGCCACCATGAGAGAGCCATGGCAAGAGAGCCACCATGAGAGAGCCACGGTAAGAGAGCAATAGTGAGAGAGCCACCATGAGAGAGCAATAGTGAGAGAGCAATGGTGAGAGAGCCACCACGAGAGAGTAATGGTGAGAGAGCCACCACAAGAGAGTAATGGTGAGAGAGCCATGGTGAGAGCCACCATGAGAGAGTAATGGTGAGAGAACAATGGTGAAAGAGCCACCGTGAGAGTCTCCTGTTCTCCCTTAGTATACCTTTAGAAATAGCCAAAGTAATTTTCTTGAGATAACAAGAAAAACAGAAGCTGTAATTAGACATGCACCCACTTTACAGTTAATCCCTGGTTCACACACGAGGGATCCACACTCATCGTGGATCAATTACGGCCTGTTACACCACCACACTTAACTAGATCCCTTTAAACCTTATATCACTTACCCTAATCCCTAAAAATAAAACAGCTTAAACCAGGACAGTTACAGGGAGCTATTTGAAAATACCATGAATTACAGGGGGGGTGTTCCATCATCTGTTTAAAACCCACAATTGGCCCAACATCAGCTGAGTAAATATTACTTTATCTTCAACATGTACACAATAGAATGGAATGAGTGCATTGATGACACATTCTTTGTTTACTGAATGTCTGACATTGTGCTGTGCATGGGCACGCCTCTGGGGGGCAGTAGTGGGGTGTGTGCTCAGCCTTACAGGCACTCCTCCACAATGAAAGGCTTGATGACAAAGGTGACCTCCTTCCACTTCCCAAAGTATCTCTGCTGTTGGGTGACACAGCTCTCCACCACAAAGCTCTCGATCTTGAGCAGAGGCAGGTTCTGCAGGTGACGGTACGAGGCGACTATTCCCCAGTCTTCATGGCAGTTGGCGCAGAAGAGCTTCTTCTCTTTCATGATGCCCATGTACTTCCTGGGCCGTGGGTGCGGGCTTGCGATGGAGCGCTCGAAGATGCTTTTGTCCAGAACTATGTGCTGCGATTCCTGAGAAAACAGCGTTCGTGGATCAGACGCCTTCACAGCCAATGCTGGAAAGGGCTAGAAAATCTTTGGTGAGTTTCCATGGAAACTTTCCATGGAAAGTTCAACATGGAGTATTTTGGGAATTTGCCTATTGGGGGTCATTTTGGAGAATGCAGTTTTGTAGCCATTTTCGGTTTTTACTTTTTACCACTCATATGAAATACATATTAAACTGTAAACATGGACATACAATGTTCTGAAAGGTAATCAGCTACCCCTCAAGTAATCAAACAAGCTAATGAAGGAGGTAAAATCATTTAGCTAGTTAGCCGGCAAGCTAGCTACCAGTCTTCCTAGCTATCTGATGTGAATGAAGTTTGGGTAAAGTTTATTCTGTGATTTAACTCAGCATAAACCTGGTCGAAAAATCTTTGCTCATCCAAAGGCCTGTAGGTAGCAATAACCTTACAAATCCTCCCAACATCAGCTGACTATGAGGTCAGCTGGTCTCTCTTTGGCAATACGCACACAAAAGTCTGCATAAGGCTCACAAATGTACAAACAGCAATTCAGGCAAACCTGAGGCTCTTTGATCATAACCCACACCCATCTGACACTTCAGCTAAAGCGGACAGCGACTTGTATGGACAACTTCCTCCTCTGAAAATTCCCAGAATTTACATCCATAATCATGGCTAACAAAAGC